CGGCATGCCACCATGCCTTGGAGCGGTTACCGGGTAGTTTTAGCCGGGTTTGTAGTCCGCGATTTCGCGGCCCTGTCCGAAGCTGATCATTCAGCGTTGGTCTCCCTAGGGTTTAGCCCCCCCGACCTAGCCACAGGTGACGTCATTCAGCAAGGAACCATGGTGCCAGTACCGCGTCCAATCTTCAAGGCACCAGCCACGCCCGTCGTGTTCGAGCTGTTCTCTGGCACTTCTCGTGTTACAGCCTGCCTCCGCCGCCTGGGAGTTACAGCCCACGGAATCGACCACAAACATGTTGAATCTGCGGCGTGTGCTCCCTTGATCGCAGACCTCACCACTCAGGATGGCCAGGATCTGGCCATGTTTTGGTTGTGCAATCCGCTGCTATCGGCTGTGGTAGCAGCCCCACCTTGTGGTACTTCCAGCCGTGCACGAGACATCCCAGTCTACGATGCTTCAGGCGTGCCAATCCCAAGCCCACCGCCTCTGCGCTCCTCCGAGTTTCCCGACGGTTTGCCAGACCTTCAGGGTTCAGATAAGCAACGGGTTGAGGCCGCCAATGTCTTGTATGCCTTCTTGGCCAAGGTTGCTCTGGAATGCGGGTCGGCGATTCGGGGGTCAACGATTCTGCTGTGAATCTGAACTCTACTGAGCCTACTCTTGAACAGGCGTGGGGCGTGCCCTATTCCCCCGAGGCTTTTGTTCAGGCCGCATGCAAAGCGGGACACCCTAAACTGTTGAGGATTCCTCTGCCGCGGGCACTTCAGAAGGCTGTGGAAATCAACCGATCGTTGTCTTCTAAAGAATTACTTGAGTTCAGGGAAAGGTGGTTTGAGAAGTGGGAAGCCAGGGCAGCAGCCTTGGAGGAGAGTGAGGAGGCACTCAAAGCCGAGATGCCAGACCACCTAAGGGCCATCTTAGGGTCTAAGAAAATCCTCTTGTGGAAAGAGCTTCTGCAGGACATCGGCTACGAGGACATGGAAGTTGTCGAAGAAATGATCAACGGCACAGACTTGGTGGGTCAGGTGCCACTTACAGGCTTGTTTCCCCAAGTGTTCAAGCCTGCTGCGGCATCACCGCAAGAGGTCCACCGCAAAGCATCGCAATCCAGGAAGCACGTCTTGGAGTCGGTGCGATCCCAAGGCGAGCTAGACCGGGAGGTGAAACGCAAAACAGCCGAAGAGCATGACAAGGGTTGGTTAGAAGGGCCGATCAATCCTAGCGACTTGGAGGATGAGGCCTTAGTCAGTAGAAGGTTTGGGTTATCGCAAGGTTCCGGCGAATCTCAAAAGGTGCGACTCATAGATGACTTGTCTGGGAGCTCCGTGAATGCAGCCGTGCAGGCGTGCGAATCGCCGCAACCGCACACGACAGACGTGCTGGCATGCTTGATGCTGCAATGTTTGGAATCCTTCCCTAGGGATAACCTTAAAGGCCGAAGTTATGACCTTAAGTCCGCTTACCGCCAGCTTGGCCTAAGTAAGGATGCCCTAAAGGATGCATACGTAGCTTTCCATGATGAGCAGTCAGGTCGACCTTCAGTGCATCGCCTTAAAGCTTTACCCTTCGGAGCGGTGAGAAGTGTGCACTCCTTTCTCAGGACCGTGCATTCAGTCTGGACGCTCGGGTGCCACCTGGGCTTCTTATGGACGTGCTACTTCGACGACTTCCCCACGCTAGCAAGACAATCGGATTGCGCCTTCACTGCCGATCACATTCCCCGTTTCTTTAGACTCTTAGGGTGGCAGTTCGCAGAGGAGGGGAAGAAGGCACAGGAGTTTGGCAGCACGTTCGAATCATTAGGGGTGAGGTTTAACTTGGAACATTTCAGCAGCGGGCGTGTGGAGGTTGGGAACACTGACTGCAGGGTGCAAGAACTCCTGACTGCACTTACCCATGCAGTTGAAAGCAAGGAGCTGCGCAACAAAGATGCACAGCGGCTCAGGGGTCGGCTACAATTTGCCGACGGCCAAGTTTTTGGCCGTGCCAGCAAGCTCTGCCTCAAGGAGTTGGATGCACATATCGCGTTGGGCCAAGCGGAACTTGGACAGGACGCTCTTGTTGCCTTGAATCGATATGCACTGCTTCTCAGGGACTCAAAACCACGTGTGCTGGCGAGGCCAGCCCACACCCCGCGATACATCTTCACCGACGCCGCTTACGAGGCAGGCGCTCAGGGCCCCAAGTGCGGCATAGGCGGCGTGCTTTATGATCATGAGGGCGAGATGCTGAGTTTCTTCTCGTATGAACTGGACCGGAAACAAATGGAGAAGCTTGGCAGCGCCACGAAGAAAACCATCATCTTCGAGGCGGAACTTGTAGCGTACATTGCTGCAATAGTGCTTTGGCGCAAGCGCGTCACGCATCATGCATTAGTTGCCTACGTGGATAACAATAGCGCTCGAGACGTGTGCATTTCGGGGAGGGCAAGAAACGACACAGGCAAGATGCTCATCGAGTTACTCCTCTCGGTGGAAGACATGGCAGGGCTAAACACTTGGATATCCCGTGTTCCGAGTCCTTCGAATCCCTCTGACATTTTGTCTAGAAAGCTAGTTAAAGTCTTGAAGGGAAAGGCAGGGATTATCAAGGCGACTCCGGTTGCAAAAACGCTTGATGACATTCTTGCTTAGGACCGCGGTTAATTAGGGGTGACTATGCCTGCCGTAGCTTGTGTGCGTGTGGACTGCTGAGTCCCCGATGCCTAACCTCGCTTGCACATACGACATGTCTCAATCGCAGCCGCGGTTGAGCATGTCGGTACCGGAAGTCTTGCCCGATGTCACCAGTGAAAATGAAGACAGTGCGAGTGTGGCTTCCTGAAGGAATTTATGCAATACATATATGTATATCGGTTCGCTGCAAATAGATTCACGAATCATTTTATTTTAGCGCTGCCGTTTCTGCTCAATCGGAAGAACAACTGAGTAAATTAAGCTAGCGGTCAACGGGTTGATAGCGCTTTAATTTTCGTGGTTGTTTTGTAAAACTAGGTTAGTTTTACTTCTTCCGATTGAGTTGGAAAGAAAATTTGCAAAGTGATTTTCTCTTGCAAGCTTTGAACACTTCTTGTGTGCAGCCGAGCATGTGATTACTTGTGTGCACCGCCGCGAGGTCATGCTCAAGGGAGCAAGTGAAAACAGCATGCAACATGGGCATGGGCAGAAATTTTTGTCCCGCCCGCCCGCCCAGTGATAATGACGCAAACCCTTGTTACACTGCTTCTTGGGCCGCTGGTTGTCTCCAGCTTGTCGACTTGAGAATCTGCCCCTGCTTGATTCCTCTTGCCTTGGGCCTCTCAGGCTGTGTCTCCACTGCAATGCTCCACCGTGGGCATCTGGACTGTCTAGTCCCTTGAGGGGTGACTTTGCCTGCCGTAGCTTATGTGCGTGTGGACTGCTGAGTCCCCAATGGTTGAGCATGGGGTGACTATGCCTGCCGTAGCTTGTGTGCGTGTGGACTGCTGAGTCCCCGATGCCTAACCTCGCTTGCACATACGACATGTCTCAATCGCAGCCGCGGTTGAGCATGTCGGTACCGAAGTCTTGCCCGATGTCACCAGTGAAAATGAAGACAGTGCGAGTGTGGCTTCCTGAAGGAATTTATGCAATACATATATGTATATCGGTTCGCTGCAAATAGATTCACGAATCATTTTATTTTAGCGCTGCCGTTTCTGCTCAATCGGAAGAACAACTGAGTAAATTAATAAGCATACTCGCGGCAATCTGCCCCTTCTTTAAACGCGTAGGTACACACTGGCTACTCAAGGTCTTGGAGGGTTTAGAGTGCCCTGGCCTAAGCTGCGCGCCACACTTTTTGCACATCCACCTGTCGCCAAGGTTGTGCATGTCGTGTGACCCATGCACTTCCAGCTCTGCTGGAATGGGGCTCTCCCTGTGACGACAGGGGTGGGCGGCTATGCGGTCGAAACGCCACAAGGGCATGAGCTGCTTTATGTACAGCCCGCACACCAAGCACGCCGCGGAGGCGATGGCAGTGGGGTGGGCCTCCCACGTGTGCCCGCCGGTGCCCTCTTTAATGAGGGCCTCGATCCGTTGGCGTTTGTTCTCCCCTCCATCTGCGGCTGGTCTGGGCCGATGGCGCGGGGGCTGCGTTGCAGGGGTCGCTGGCTCGCTCACGCCCTTGGGGGTATGCTTTTTCCCCTTTTTGCGTTTGGGTGTTCCCTCCTGGACCAGGGTGGCTGCTCCTTGGAGGTCAGCAGCACAGAAGACCTGTGCTGCAAGAAGACCGTCACCTCACGCACTAGGTCGTCGATCTCGTCCCACTTGGGCCGTGGCCCTGGCCGCCGCTTTCCGGCAGAGTTGGTCGGCCGCGTCGTTTATCTGCTGTCTCCAGAGAGAGGCCTCTCCGAATTCAGCGCTGAATTCCTCCGCGGTCACGTGTGACCTGACCCACGTCAGTGAGGCGTGCGCTCGCCGGTCGCCCCCTTGTAGCCACGGCCAGCTGACTCCCACAGACTTCTGCTGCCGAAGCATCCCGGCACAGTCGGTGGTGATGTCTGCGAGCCCTGGTGTGCGCGCACACACGCGGGCGATCGCGTAAGCCTCGGCCTGTGGCACCGTGGTGCCCGGCGGTAAAACGCCGCAGGCGGATCCGACCTGCCTGAGCCCATCGGGGGCACGCTGGAAAATGACCACGCTCCACGCCGCAACGCGGCCGCGGGGGTCGTTGCCGTGGGCACCCGCCGTCCCGTCCGTGCCGTAGAGGTACTCAGCGGCCCACTCCCTGGCAGCTGCGACACCGGTTTCCTCCTCACTCTCCGGGCCCCACGCGTACCCGCGGAGCTGGGAGGCTTTGGCCCCTGGTCCAGAGACTCTCGAAGGGGTACTTCTCCCTGAGCCGTGCCCAGTTGGCCGGTGCGGGTGGGGCGCGGCCCTTACAACGGGCAGCTGAGACCTCAGTGAAGGGTCTTGTGACATTGGTCTCAGCTTTGGAGAGGCAGCGAAAGAGCGGTCGCATGCCACGCCGGGTGCCGATCACGAGCCATTCGACCACCGCGTCGGTCTCTGCCTTCCGGGCCCGTTGCTGCTCCTCGTCGCGGAGCTGTCGGACCACTGAAAGGGTTGAAGGCCGGCCCTCGCCGAGCCAAGGGCGCAGAGGAAGTCTTGGGGAGAGGAGGCCTCAATCCCCTGCGCCTTAAGGTGGAGGGCAGTTGCCTCCACCGCATCGGGAGGCATATTGCCCACCAACGCCTCAATTCGCCGAAGGTGTCTCTTCGGGTGTTCCCAGAAGGAGGCCATTCGGCTCCAGAAAGCAGCGACGTGGCCCCTCCACGGGTAGGACCAGTCCTGCTGCATGAGGGGCTTGTGCTGGAGGGGGTTGTTGGTGCCGCGCCCTCCTTCGGTGGTGTAGTGACATGCCGCCATCCCAGAAGTGATGCCCGCGAAGCGGCACACCGTCTTAACGCTTGACGCTTGTCAAGGAAGCCAGCGGCCGAGCTAACAGTGCGTAGTCGAGGGTATTGCCCGTGTTGATAGTAGGCCCATCCGGTGCAAGAAGGGCGCCCCCCACTGTCTCGGCCCACGATGTGCCCAGAAACTCGGTGGGAGGAGCGTTCCAGTCCCCAACCACGATCCAATTGCGGTGTTCCCGTAGCACCGGCCTGAGGGCCGCGAGGACATCAGGGTTGCATCCTGCGTGGATTCCCACTGCGCTTTGGAGGTACACGCAGACGACCATGAGGGTCCATCGCAGGCGCGGCAGGGCGATCGCCACGTAGCCGCATCCCTCCTCCGTGATCATGCCCCCGCAGCCGGTCGCCCTTGGGCGGCGTAAAGAGGTGGAAGCCGCACTTGGATGCCTCGATGCGTAGCTGGTTGAGGCCCTCGGCGTTGAGGTGCAACTCCTGCAATGCTAGGATTCCTTTCGTGGCCGGGTGCCAAGTGAGCAGCTCCTTCTTCCAGAGGTCACGTTGGCGCTGGTGATGTGGATGGGGTCGGCAGGGGAAATGGCTCCCTGAGCGGCAATGTCCTTGGCAAAAGGGGCCGCTAAAGGGGGGTCCAACCACCCCGAGCCCTGGAGGCCATCGAGGAGATCCCACCCGAGACGGTAAGCGAGGCTGCCTTCCGGTTCCGTCTCTACAGCTTCGCCGAAAGCCACGATAGCCTCTTCGGCATCCTCAAGGTTCTCTACCGCACTGCAGGCGAGGGCGAGCCGCTCCGCAATGGGCTGCGTCGGAGAGGGCCTTGCAAACGCTGCAGGGCGCCGTTTTCGGGGTCCTCCCCTAGTAGCCTTGGTGGGGGATTGAGATTGAGGGCCCGGGGGCCCGGGGGCTGCTCGGAACTCTCGGTGGCTGAAATCCCTCCCTCGCCCGTGAGGGGTGTGTCCACAGGGACATGAGAGACGCTCCCCGTCGGACATCCTCGGCGGCGAGACTGCTGGGCCTGTCTGAAGCCAGAGCTCCGGAGGGCCCTTCTGTGCTGCCCCGTGGCCTGTTGTAGCCGAATTCGGCCACCATGGCCTAGGCTGGGGGCTGAGGTTGCTTGAGAAACAGGAGTGGGGACCACGTCCTGCAGGCGCAAAACATGTGTAGCTGGGTTCAGAGACTCAGAGTGCGCCTGAGCCTTGGGCAGGTTGTCGCCCTCCGGGGGCTGCCATGCTGCCCAGAAAATGGCGTTGGACCTGCGGATCCGGCGTGCCTGGTGAGCGTGACGGCTGCGGCGGTTGCCGAAGTGCTGTGGTCCGCGCCTGCATCCGGGAAGCCGGTTTGGGCGAAAACCTGTCCGGGGAGTGGTGTCCACAATCCCCTTGTCCGACTCTGAGGCCTGGGAGGGTGACCACACCTCCGAGTCGGTTAAAAACTGCTGTGGCGAAGCCACGCGAAACGATGAAAGAAAGAACCTGGGGCCACTGACACAGCTATCCACTGAGGGTGGGGCTCCCTGTTGTCGGTTGCAAAGCTGGCGGCTACGACGTGCCGGAAGGACAAAATCATAAGGGGTGTTTTGGCCTCCCTCTTCGGCGGGTGCTGGAGTGGGTAAACCACTTCCACTCCCTGGTCCGCCATGGAGGCTCACTCCCTACTCTGTGACCTGCTTGGTGTTCTCCTCCTCGCCGGCCAGGGTCTCCCCGTTCTTCGGGCCTACCGGGCCTGCGGGTGCGGCCGGCAGGCAGCCCCGGAGGCGCACCCGCATCGGGCACCTTCCTCTTCTGGGCTTTGGCGCGGTAGTCGGCCAACTTCTCCTGCTGCTCGTCAGAGAGGGTCAAGCCCAGGATGGTGACCAGTTCGTCCACATCCATTGGCTCAGGAGTGACAGGCACGTCCTGTACCCCGGTAGGGGTGCCCACAGCCTTTGTGAGCTCGAGCTTGGCCTTTTCCACCGCATTCTCTGCCTCGTGGATCTTCTCCGTTGTCTCCTGGAGCTCCTCTCCAGTAGCTTGATCTTCTTGTGGATCAGCACTCGGAGACGGGAGCTGGCCTTGGTGAGGTCCTTGTTGGATTGCATGGCCTTTTCTCCCGGAGACGGCTCCGGACCAGTGGTTGCCTCCACCAGCGCAGTGCGGATGTCCTCCGGCAGCTCATCCTGGCGCTGTACCAACAGGCTCAGGAGAGGGTCGGTCTGGGACTCGACCGCATCCTTCTGGTTGGCTTGTGTGAGGCGCGCACGCGCATCCTCCGGGATTTGGTCCCAGATTGTCGTGACGGCGCGCTTCAAGCGGCGTTCCTCCTCGCGCCTTTCTTTCTTGTCGGCGCCGCGCTGAGGAGAGGGCGAGGGGGCCTTCGGTGGCCGCGGGCTGCCGTTCTGCTTGAGAGCAGGTGCCGGCCACTTCTTGCCGCACTGGCAGTAAGGCTACTGTGCACCTTGTCTGCCCACGTCCACGCCCCGCACTTGCAGACGAAGTACTGGCGCTTCTGGCCCATGGCTAAGGAGTGATTGCTCACGTCCTCGCTGTCTTCTGGCCGGTCAAAGCGGAGGGTAGACCCTATCCGCTGCGGCCTCACGAAAAGCGAGGGGTGGAAGCCACACCCAAGCCAAGGGCAGCTATGGCTCAAAAGGAGGCTAAAGCTGGGATTGTGAGGGCCTCGAACCTGGTCGCACAGCCGGTTGAGAGCCCCAAGCCCGTTAAAACAGCACTCACTACGCCACAAAATGTGGCACTCGAGCCGAAAACTTGAGCCACCTTCCTTTTCCTTTTGGTCTTCCTCTACCACCTTTTCCTCTTCCGTATCCATATCCTTTGCCCTTTCCTTTGTCTCCTTTTCCTTATCCGTAAGGGCTTCCTTTTCCTCCTTTGTCACCTTTTCCTTTTCCATCTCCTTTACCTTTTCTCATGTGCAATCTGTCGAGTTCCATTGGAATTGGTCCTTGGTAAGCCTTGTTGCTTGAGTGTGACGTTGGGTCTGGAACACTCAACGATCCTAAGATGTTCTCAGCTGACCATGTCTGATTGCTTCTTCATATTGTAGCAGCTTTGCTCTTAACTCTTCATACGTGGTCTTATCAGTGATATCAACCATCACGTGCTGCTTGAGGTGCCGAGGGATTCCTTTCAGCAGTGTACCAATCTTCAAGTTGTCATCATACTTCTGCCCTGAGAGCTTTTCGTACTCTGCTGTGAGCTTCTCGTATGTCAGGACGTAGTCCATCAGCGATGCTCCTTTGCTCATGGCCGGGAATCCAACCAATGCTTGTGCCATTGCTATCCCGCTCACGCTTCTAAGCACTTTCAGAGGTCTGTTAACTGTTCTTCAAGTAACTGCTTAACACTGAGTAAAGCTTCGTTCCTCTGTTCACTCTTGTGTGATCACTGTTGAAGAATGCATTTGTCACCTCCGTTGTTATCACGGCTTCTTGTTCTTCTGCCGCTTTTAAGTCTTTCAGGAATTCTTGGTCCATGAACGCTAAGAAGTTCTTGAACGTAAATGACCAGTCACTCCATTGTGACACTTCTTCTTCAATCGTCGCAGGATTGAATGCTTCCGGTGGCTTGAGGATCTTGCCTCCAGTATCAAAACATACTGAGGCTGGCTGGCCTCCCGTAGGGGTTGCCTTCGGTGATGCTTGGGCTTTCGCCAGTGCATCCATTGCTGTTGTCAATTGCGCTTGTTGCATTGCTGTTCCTTGCGCAACTCTTGCCATATCTTCTGTAGCTTGACCTAATGTAGTCATCAGCTGTTCCAACCTCACCTGCTGAGGGTTCGGTTGGTGCTGTGGCTGTTGAGCTTGTTGTTGCTCTTGCATCTTTCCAACACTTTGACAGGTCCTTGTATATCTGGCTCAAGGTCTTTCACTTCCACGCTTTCTCCGACTTTGCAAGATGCTCTTGGCTTAGCCGTAACTCCTCGCTGTTCTCCGACAGGATGCTCTTGGTAAACCGTAACTTCCTGTTCCACACTTTTCACCTTTTCCAGCTCGTTGCTGGCTTCCCTGGATCTTTGCTTGATCAGCTGCTGGCCTTTGCCAACAGCTCCGCTACCATGAAAGTTTAAACCCTTAAACCAGTGTCCTTGTTATAACCACGGCGCGAGCTTGGATTCTTTTCTCACTTGCTGCTCCGCTGTCGGGCTGTCTTGAGCCTACGTTTGACCTGCGGTGAAACACTGGATTCCTGTATGTAAATGGGCATGAGGGAAAATTGAACTATCTGTTAGAAGCTCAGAGTGCACATGTCAATGTCATCTGAAGCTTATGCACAGTTGACTTCAAGATGCCTTGAGATGGCGAGCGCGGGTGACAAGAAGATGCAATATAGCACCACTTGGCGCTCACATTGACAGAAAACTTCGGCAGCCATTTTCTTTAAAAATCCAAGCCCGATTGTTCAAGAAAATTCAAGCTCAAGATATTAAGGGACTATCAGCGCACGCACTGACGGCCTCCTTGCTGCCGTACAAGCAGATGCAACCTTTTTACGCCTACAGGACCCAAACGAAAGGGAACAGTACGCCGCACGATACTTTGAGACGTGGAACAAGGAACGCCTTGATAATCATCGAAGAGCGTTTCCATTAAATGATAATCTCCTAGCTCTCCTATTCCTAGTGCAGTCCGACCTGAATGAAACACAGCGTGAGAGGTTGGTGTCAGCCCTGACCAACCAAGGGTACCGAATTGAGACCTACACGTAGCCGGTGGTACGACAGACCATGTTCGATCAGTTTTCGACGACCAGAACTGGTCTGCAGGATCCCAATATTCGGCACACTTCTCACAAGAAGGACAGGCACGGACGGAGAGACCAACGCCGCAAACGCGGAGGTCGAAACTTCCTCATCCTCGATCAAGGTGAGTATGACGGAGCAGATGGCTTCTGGCTCCAAGATGAAGACACCCTCGAGGAAGGCTTCCTTGCCGCTTTGGATGAGACTGTCTTCTGGACAGCCGATGATCACGAGATTTTCGTTGCGAGGAGATTCAAGAAAGGAAGAAGACCAAAGATGCGTCCCGGATCACCGGGAAGAGCAAAGGGCGGCAAGCGTAAAGGACGTGGCCGTTTCAGGTCATACCGCGGAAAAGGGAGAGCCAACCAGGCAGAACACGATCCAACCGATTCCAGCTATTTCGGTAAAGGGAAAGGAAAGGAAAAAGGAAAAGGTGGAAAAGGCAAAGGAAAAGGAAAAGATAAAGGAGACAAAGGAAGCTCTTTCAAAGGCGCGAAGGCCAAGGGCAAAGGTAAGGATGCAGCCAAGTCTGCCTCCTCACAAGGAGACCAAGTAGGATCCCCACAGGCCTATGAAAGTTCCACCGCACCGGGCTGGGATTCATGGTATGAAGACAGTTATTATACTGAATCAGGTTGGAATTATGCCATGCCGCTTATGATGAAAATACGTCGTATACGTATTACTCACATGCCGTTAAGAGAAAAGCACGGAAAAAGAAGAGAAGAACAACCAAAGGATCAATTGGAAGAGGCACAGATCCGAGCGCGCACCATGAAACCGTGTACAACTCCTCAGAGAGTCATGACGCAACTCCGCGAACAGCGGATGAAGCTTTATTTTCCCCTGTGTCAAAAATTTTGGTTTGTCAAACAAACTCAAAATTTAGGGCGTGATCTTTTGTCGAAGTTCTCTCAACCCATGACATGACAGTTCATGTTTGAGGAATCTCCATGAGTCTTTGCCATGCCGTCAGTTGGCTCCACAGGGTGGTGGGAGGGTAAGAAAAAATTTCCGGCATAAGTCCGGAAAAAAGTTTTGTGTCGAACGGGGACCCCGAGGCGTAACAGGTTCGACTTTCAACCTGGCCTTTTTCGACGTTGCCTCTAGGGCTCCGTGCACGCCTCCTTAGGAGGCAGATGGAAGCAGCTCCTAACTTCTCTCCTGTGGCTTCAGAGCTACGGGGGCAGGGTCAGGAAGCCCCAGGTGTTGAAGAGTCTGATGCGTGCACCGGCAAGCCGCTGCCTGCTGAAAGTGAGTTGGGGTTTGATAATCATCTTGAGCGTCTTTGCGAGGAGCTTGAGGAGGCAGGGACAGGGCGGCCTTTGCCTTCGCATCTTGATGCTTTCGTGCCTTCAGAAATAGATAGTGAGCAGCGAGAAGCTTGTGTGCGCGATCGAAAGTCTGCAAGGGAAGTGGTCAATTGTGCTGACAGCAGCTTGCTTAACGATGCTTTGGGGGATTCCGTGCTTGCTCTGGGAAGGAGTGTAGTAGACATTCCTTTGCCTTGGGAGCAGGAGAGCATGAGTTTGGTCTTTGGAGAAGATGATTCAGTAACAAAGCTTTTGGCAGGTCTCCCGAAGCACATACCAGTGCCTGCTGTGTCCAGCTCCAGTATCCAGCCTTCAGACCTTGTTGCCGAGCCACCGGCAAAGCGTGCGCGACAGATGCCTGAGAGTGGGGAGTGTTTCAGGGTTGCTATTTCTTCAAGGGCCTACGACAGTTACGCGGAAAAGGAGGAGGCTCAATGGCGACGTGCTCTTGAGAAGTGGCTGGTCATTCTTACTGAGTGCCCTGGTTCGTCATATATCGGAGAAACGGTTGCCATCCAAAAGACTGATGACGCAATTGAAACTTTGCGTGAACTCTTTGGGCGAAAGAGTGGCAGTACAGTCATGAAAAGGGGATCGGCCCTCATGGGATACCTCTCATGGGGGCGAAAGGAATGCAGGGGCAGTGACCTTTTCCCTTTCAAGTCCTCGCATCTGGATGGATACTTGAAGCACCTGAAGAGAGAGAAGCGGCCAGCCGGGGCTTTCACCAGTTTCCAGGAGTGTGTGAATTTTGCAATACATGTGGTCGGCATTGCTGTCGATGAGTCCGTCATAGGACCAAAGCAAAGCACTGTGTGGAGCCATTGGAGTAAAGGTCTTATTGGTCAGGCACAGTTGACCAAGGCAGAGCGGAAGCAGGCCACAGTCCTGCCTGTGGCATATGTTGCAGCCCTGGAACGTTTGCTTGAAGATGAATCGGTCAATAGCTTTGATCGTTATGCCTGCGGTGCCATCTTGTTTGGGATCTTTTCCAGGAGCCGAGTTTCGGATTTGCGAAAGACTTTCGGTTGGTTCCTTGACTTCAGTGAACTTGTAAGCGGAGGCGAAGGTTTCATTGAGTGCAAGACCCGAGATCACAAGACGGCCAATGCTGTGGCGCATACAGGCTTCAGCATGCCTTTGGTGGCGCCCGCGCGGGGTGTTACATCTTCGGCTTGGGCTGTGACATGGGCCAAGGTTGCAGATGAGGTAGGTTTGGGTTTTAGTTCCACCCGAGTAGGACCCGTGCTACCTGCGCCTGATCAGAAGGGGGGCTGGACTCGACGATGCGTCGATTCAGGAGAGGTCACCAAGTGGATGCGTGCGTTACTTGACAAGGCCGGGTGTGATGTGCCTGAGTCGTCGACTTCGCATGCCATCAAAGGGACTTCTTTGAGCTGGTGCTCTAAGTTTGGAATGGATAAGCATACCCGCCTGAGATTAGGACACCACAGCAGTGGCGACGGATCCTTGGATGCTTATGGGCGCGACAACCTTGCGCCAGCCCTCTTGAAATACACCGAAATGTTAGGAAGCATCAGGCGAGGTGTGTTCATGCCTGACTTGAGCAGATCGGGACGGTTCGCCGATCGTCCGATTGTTAAAGTCGAAGTATCAGAAGATGAAACTGCATCACCGATCGTGCCTGTGAGTGCGGCTTCTGATGAGGAGGGATCGTTAGGCAGGACCACTGAGTCGTTCGAGAAGGTCGATGCTGTTGCCAATCCTTCAGGGGTCTCTGCAGCTTGCGGAGAACAGGACTGCGAGAGTGAATCGAGCGACAGCTCCAGTGAGTCGGAGCCTGAGTCCGGAGATGAATGGGTCAAGGGCGAGGACTTCCGACATCCAGCGAGCAAGCCTAGCACCTGGAGGCCTGAGGCCACCATGTACAAACATTCTAGGACTGGTGTTGTGCATCTCATGAGTGCTGGGAGTTCAGATGGGCTTTTTATTTGTGGGAGGGCCCTCACCAATGATCATGTGGAAGTCAGTGGTGTGCCTTTCCTTGAGTTGCGGAAGTGCAAGCAGTGCGATTCGGGTCGTCCTGTTAGAGATGTTGGCAGCTTGAATGTCGCGCTGCAGCAGATCATGAACTGTAGAGAGAAGTGATCGAGTTTGTCCACGTGGGGCAAAAGAAAGCGAAGTGCGCTTGAAGAGCAGATGAAGTTCATCTGGCAGTCAAGTCCGGTTGCGAGTGCAAGTTTCTGAGGAGCTATGTTATGCTCGAAGTTTTGCTCAAGTGGAGACCATTGGTGAACAGGCATGAGTGTGCTTTTCGAATGAGTAGAGACATGACGGAGACACATGTTAGGAGCGAGTTGTGAACTGACATGTGACTTCATGTTTTGACATGACTTCTGCTCGGTAGTCTGTGCTGGTGACTTGCTGAGGGATCATGGGCTCGTTAACGGAATCTACAGCGGCCTTCGCATCAAGGGCTAAAGAGATTGGCTTGACTCAAGCCAATGTGGCCACGATGACGGGGACCGGAGTGGATACGCTTTCCAAATTAGCTTTTGCAACAGTTCCGCCGGGCCAGTCACCGAGCGACGATCAGGTACAGCGGCTCTTCGGGGCAACGCCCATCACGGCAGGGACGATGGCTGCAGCAAAGCGCTTGATCTTTGAGGCCCATACCCTCGTAGTCCAAGAGTTAAAAACTCGGGTTCAGAGGGGGGATTCTGGAGCACCTTCGACGCTTGCCACAGCAGAGAGGGAAGAGCGCATCACAGAGCAGCGTGCAAGGATCACAGGCCTTTTGCATCGTGGAGTCGAAGAGCCTAGCCATGCCTCTTACGACTTGGTGTACGCCATGTTGTCCGCGGATTCCTTGACGTACTTAGGGCCAGACAGGTTTCCGACCCGACAGTCCGAACTTCAGGGTAAGAAGCCCGGGAAGGAGCTCACCATCGACGGGAACAGTGTGACGGTGAGAGACAAGGTGCCTCATCAAACCTGCACGACAGGGACCGAGCTTGAGCTTACGCAGGCTCTGAGGCGGCGAGCCTTAGCATTTGATTTAGTCAAGTGCGCCAGTTATGACACCATGAATCGGTATCACTCGTCGTTGATCCATCGACTGCAGGAGTTGCCACCGCCTACTTACGTAAAGATTTCGGTGGCACAAGTGCTTAGGGCAGACAGGGCAGCTTTCACTCGCATTGCCGAAAGCCTACCCTCGATCAAGCGTCAGCCTGATGGGGCTTTGCCTCTGGATCGAGCCCTTGAGAACATTCTTCAGGATCCCAGCATCAGCTTCCACTTGTTGCCGTTGAAAGGTGGAGAAACCGATGATAACAAGCGGAAGTGGACAGATGATGCCAAAAAGACCGATGATTCGACCAAGTGGAAAAAGAATGGCAAGGGCAAAGGAAAGGGCAAAGGCAAGGATCAGCCAGGAGTCAAAGGAGCCAAATTCATCAAAATGCCGAAGCAGCTGGTCGGCAAAGCCAGCGAGACCAACGAAGGGAAGAGGCTGTGTTGGGCATACAACATTGATGGGTGTCCCAATGCCGCTGACGGCGAGGAGTGTCCTCGCGGCTGGCACTTGTGTTGCGAGCCAAATTGCTTCAAGGCGCATCCGTTGCCCAAGCACCGGAAGTGACAGCCAGCCGCCTCGGCTGTACCGGAGCCTGAGTCTTATCTTCAAAAAGTGATGGCTAGGGTTAAGGGGGTCTCTTTAGATGAATGTCTCGTCTTGGAGGTCTCGCCGGGGTCGGGGCGATTGACTGCATGCCTCAAGCAGCGTCAGCTTGATAACAGTTTTTCCGTTGATAGAACAGCCGGCAAGTGCTGTGCACCACGAATTGTTGTTGACTTGTGTACAGAGTCGGGTCGCAAGCAGTTCCAGGAGATTTTGACCGAAGAAAATTTGATGTATGTTCATTTCTATCCGCCCAGTAATACTACAAGCCGTGCCAGATTGCGTCAATTTGCAGGAGCCCCTGCAATCCTTCGGAACGAAACCCATCCTGACGGAGTTCCAGGGTTGGGGCTAGCCGATCGTACTAGAGTGAGTGATGCCAATGCTTACCTGCGTGCTGTGGCTGCAGCTTGCAAAACATGTCACGAACGCGGAGTCCTTTTCAGTATCTGCAACCCAGAGTCAAGTTTTATGTGGGCTACCAAGCCTTTGCGACTTTTGCTTCAGGAAGTTCCTCTCTTCACAACGCACTTTCACCTTTGCAGCTTCGAATCGCCCTTCAAGAAGGCCATGCGGATGCTGCACTCACTACCAAAATTCTTGGAGTTGCATCGTCCATGCGCCGGTGGACATGTACATAAGTTTTGGTCTAAGGGTGTGGGCTGCAAGTTCGACCGTGATTTGGATTTTCCTTGGGGTTTGTGCAAGGCAATGTCACAGCTTCTGCAAGATCAACTACTTGACATGGGGGCCAAGCCTCTGCCTACTGACTTAAGTCAGACAACAGCCACAGTTGCAGCGGCCAGAGCTGTTGCTGGGTGGCAGAGCAACAAGCGTGTCCTTCCTCTGGTTCCGGAGTTCAAGCATGTTGTGAATGTTCGTGGCAGCTTCCCTGCTGCGTCTATGCAAGGTCTTCAAGTAGGCTGCAAACTCCCTGCATCGTGGGAGGTACCTGCATCTGCAAATGTTGACCCGTGCTTTGTGTCGTCGGTGCCACAAGGTTCCAAAATCCTTCGCATCCTCACGGTGCCGGGGGAAATGTCAGAGGATGCTCCGGACAACTTGAGTGCAGCTCAGGCTGGCCGTGTATTGCCGAGCCTTTCTGCTCCGCCCGAAGATGCTCACCCAGCTGAGAAGCTTGCTTGCATCATGTTGCAGTGGAACACTCGCTTCAGCCAAGAGGAGATGCGAACTCTTCTGGACATGTTGCCGCAAAAACATCAGACCAGAGCCAGGGGGAGCTGTGACGAACAGTCCAATCAGTTTCTGTGTGGAGCCTATGCTCATGGGCCCATGACGGGCTGCAAGAACTTGACACGAGATATGCCTTGGTGCACTGCCGTGCTTTGCAAGCATGTTCGTGATAACGCTCCGGGTTTTTGCTTCTCTGCCGTGGGCTACCTGTGCAATGTGCGCGCAGAGGCCCATCGAGATTTGCATAATGAGCCAGGGACAAAAAACCTGGTCATGGCAACGCATGATTGTGCTGGCGGTGGACTGTGGCTTGAGGAGGCAGGTGGGCCTGTTGCGATGGTCGTCGATAAAACTCAGCGTGCTGGGAGGTTTCATGACTTGGCAGTTGGAAGGCCTTTTATCTTCGAACCGAAGCGTTGGCATGCTACTCAACCGTGGCGAGGTGACAGAGGAGTGATCGTTGCATACACCCCAGTGGGAGTGACCAAACTTGCAACTGCCGACAAAGGGTTCTTAGAAAATTTGGGTTTTCCCTTAGGCCCCTCTTCTGGTTCTAGTGATGTGCCTCCCAGGGTTGCAAAAGTACAAAAAGGAAGTATCGTTTTCGGCGTGTACCATGAACCGGAGGAGTTTGTGGCGAGAGCGTTGAGCGTGCAACATCCTTGTCACTTGGAAAGCCTTTTGCCATCAGAGCTTGTTGAGGCCATACGGGCAAATCACTCCAAAGATGTCGCTACGCTTGGGCGCGAGCGCACCGAGATGCTCAAGAAATGGCTTGCTCGCGCTGAGGAGCTGGAAACTGCCGAAAAACAGCTCAAGGGATCTTTCAGCTCCCATCGACGTCAAGTGTTGTGCAACAAGCGGCTGCTCTTGATGAAAGAGATGCTTGACAGTGTGGGACACGAGGACGAGGACTTGATTTCCGATCTGTCAAACGGTTTCGACTTGACCGGACCCTTGCCCCGATCTAATGCCTTTAAGAATAAGTACCGCCCGGCAGCCATGGCCGAGGAAACGCTTAGGAAAAGTGCGGGATTAGTTAGGGGTCAGGTTTTGGCTTCGGTTAAAAGTTCAGGGGACGAGATCGTGGATCGAGGTGTACTGGCAGCCACCGAGAAAGAGTTGTCCAAAGGCTTCATTGAGGGGCCGGTGAGTGCTAGTGACATCCCTGCTGATGGGACGGTCACGCATCGCTTCGGAGTGATCCAAGGAGAAACCGAGGAGGGTCCCAAAGTGAGACCAATCGACAATTACTTGAGTTCGCTGGTAAATTCGGTTGTGTCCCAAAGTGAACAAGTGCCCGTCCACACGTTGGACGTAGTTGCTGGCATGTTGGCGATGTGGTTGCACTTGTCTCCTTTGAAGTCCTTGCGTGAGGGACTTGTGTGCAAATGTTGGGACCTCAGTGCCGCATACAAGCAACTACCGCTTAGTGACAAAAGTTTCGAAAAGGATAGCTTCTTCGTGATTTACTGCCCCCGCACTCGCAAGCATGTCATCTACAAGCAGCGGGTCATGCCCTTCGGGGCGAAAGCCTCAGTGACTGCCTTCATCCGTTGTGCATTCGGAATTTGGCGGCTGGGGGTAAAAATGTTTGCCTTGGTCTGGAGTTTTTATTTTGACGATTTTCTATCGGCTTGCAAGCCTGAGGAGCGTCGACACGTGGAGGTCGTCATCAGCACGCTTTTCAGGATTCTAGGTTGGGATCTTTCGCTAGATAAACTTCTGCCCTATGACGTGTGCTGTAAAGTCCTTGGAATCAAGATCGACATGGCGGAGGCTCGCCTGGGACTCTTCAAGCTGGCGAACACTGAAAAACGTGTGATGGAGTTAACCGCTGCCTTGGACGAAGTCTTGTTAGCCGAGAGGTTGTCGCATTCCGACTGCGAGAAACTTCGGGGTAGGCTGCAGTTTGCTTCCGGCCAGTTGTTCGGTCGAAGGGCGAAGGTTGCTCTGCACCAGCTTAGCCGGCATCATGGAGGTCGGTTGAGCGAGGCCACTGCTAAGGCGTGTCGCTTCTTGAGGCGTTTGGTTTCGTCAAACCAGAGCCGCTTGATTAGTCGACAACTTGGGAATGTCGTGCATGTGTATGTGGACGCATCCTTCAGCGATGAGGGCAAGCTTTGTGGCATCGGGGGCATGGCTTATGACCATAAAGGCTCTTTGCTCCAATGGTTCGGTGAAAACCTTGATGCTTCGCTTGTTTCCCAAGTCATGACGTCTTTTGAGCGTGTCAAAGAGACCGTCATTTTTGAGCTGGAGGCTTTGGCGG